GGAGCAGAAGGGATTGCGGCATGGCCATCCCCCCTGGGGGGTGATTTCTCGCTTTCTGTCTCTATGTCTCTATCTGTCTTTCTGGCAAGTGCATGCGCCCTATAGCGAAAACCTCTCCAAAAAAAAGAAAAAAAAATATTCATTTAATTTTATGTATTTATTATTATTATTATTATTCAACTTGACCAGAGAGAGAGAGAGAAAGTAAACCACCAGGTCCAGGATTCGAACTGCGGTCAGCCATGTGGGAGTCTAGTACATCAACCACAACACCTGCTGGCCCCTTACCTGTTTTAAAAAATCTCTTTAATAGAAAGTACTTCCAAGTGTCAGATATCCCTGGCTTCTATATCACAGAAAAGTAAAGGTGGCGTTCATTTTAATGGCACTTCATGTTAATGTGGATCCCCCGTTCCTCTGCAGAGCTATTCGTAACAATAGTTGGGAAACCTGGCAAGCTGTTCTATTCAAGTCAACCAACACTCACTAGAGTTGTGTTATTGTGCTCCATCACTCCATTAAAGCTTCAACAGCCTTGGAAAGCAAAAACACGATACTACACAATTTTAAGTGTCAAGGGGCTGGCAAGTGGCGTGGTAGTTAAAGGTGCTGGATTCCCACTTGGCCAGCTGCGGTTCGAGTTCCGGACCTGAGGGTTTGCTTTCTCACTTACTTTTCTCTCTCTCTCTCTGGTCAAATTGAAGTAAATGAATAAAGTCAAATGAAAAAGGGTTTTTAAAAAAAAAAAAAAAAACAATTTTATGTGTCAATTTAGCAAGGAAAAATGGAGGTACATTAATGAGTCATTAAGTATTAAAGGAGCAAGGATCCAAACACATCTTTCAAAATTAGCAAATCAACAGCAAATAGACGGATTGACTGTAAAATGCTGCTAATTCTTTTAAAATATGAACTGCCAAACTATAAAAATGGCAGAAAGATGTCAAGCACCGTGCCATGTACGACATAACTCAAGCAGCTTGAACTAGAAAATGCAATACGATCTGTTACTGAACACAATTGCACAATCTCAATTACCCAGAAGATTCTACCAAACAGGAAATTCACGATGTGACTTTAAGAAACCCAGGAGTTATATTTAAAGATTAACACATCCCAATGCCTGGAAATTGTTCTACAACAGAAAGTCATTTTATAGGCCCCTTTTCAAATGATGCACACACATGAATTACTAAAACATAGGGAACACACTAACAGTTAAAGCTGATATTTAGTTTCAAATCAGGAGCCTCAAATTATAGTAAATCTAAAATACTGTGAATAAAACCTTGGAAGTTAGAGATAAGCTAGTGAAATATTTGAGATCTGGATTTTTTGCAGTATTGGTTTAATTTAAAATACACTCAAGGTGTAAATTAAACCTGGAAAGTCTAACTGCTCTTCCTCTGCTAGGCTATGTTCCATATCCTTATGAAAAATGTACCTCAAGCCATACCCGTGTTTGAGTTCCCTGCAAACTCGCTATGGGACTTCAAACACACAGTATTCGCAGGAATGATCTCAACTTAAAAATAATTATAATACCTCCAAGCACTGTTAATAACTTTTTGATCTTGAGCGCGCCCAACGGATGAATCCCTTGTTCCCAATGAGAAAATGGTTTTGTCAAAGAATGCCTAAATGAGCAGCGGTATGTGACTAATCATGAGGCCGCCAGTTTCTCAAGCTGCAGTGTTCCTGCAGGCACGTCCACCCGCCTCTACCAAAAGGAAATACGCCTTCAACTGAATCGGAAACACACCACTCAAGCTGGCACAAGGCTCGCCGAGATAAAGTCGGTATTTTAAGCTCTCTGGGTCTCTGCTAATTCAACTGCGAACTCAGAAAGAACGCCTCTCAAATGGGATTTCGACAGAGGTCTGCAAAAAAGCCTGGAGAGAGCACCCTTCGTCGTCAGTTTGTTCAGATGACCGCAGTCTCCTGGTAGAGCTTCGCCCTCTGCTGCTCCCGGCAGCTCCCAGGGCTTGTCTGCTCAGAGAGCAGGCTCTGGTGCCCCACGGTGGGCGCACCCCGAGAGAGGGTCCTAGTGATCGACGCCAGCGGGGGAGTTCCCCAAGGAGAGGCGCCCCTCCCCGGGTGCCTGCCTCCCGGAGCATCAACCCTCCAAGAAGGGAACACGCAGGGTGGGAGCCAGAGCTGAGCTCCAGCACCACCGACCGCCCACAGCGGACCTGCGTGCTGCACCCGGCTGCCACCTACCTGAGTGTGCAGGGAGGAGGGTGCAGGGGGTGCAAGACAGGCAGGGCACGAAGGGGCAGTAATGCTCTCCCCGATGAAAATTCCTGCCGCTTGGCGCATCGCTGAGCCATGGGGGCAGGCCTGGCCCTTGGGCATGCGGGACCACCCTGCCCAACGCGGCCCCACCGGAGACACTCACCACACGGAGCCATAGGCGCCGGAGCCCACCGGGGACAGGTTCTGATAACGTTCGGGCACCTCCCAGATCGTCTTGTTCAGCTCCTGCCGGTAGAACGTGGGCCTCTCCTGAGACATCTTCCAGCAGCGTCAGCGGGGCGAGGAGGTGGCCCTGCGGGCCCCCAGCCTGCACCCGCACCTACTCCCCCGCCCCTGCCGACCGCCAGCGACTGGACGCGCCTAGGCGACGAGGACAAACCGGGCTACGGGTAGGGGCACGCTCCGGAGCCCAAGGCTGCGCCAGCCGCAGTGTCTCTGCACCCTCTTCCCCCCCAGGCCGACAGCGGGCACCTCCGCAGGACTCAGGCTCCAGCAGCAGCGCCCGCTGAGGCTCCAGTGGTCGCAGTTCCAGAGCCAGCGAGCAGGAGCCTCCCGCCGTCCTCTCGCGAGAACAGCTCCCGGGACTCTCCGCGAGCCGAGATTTTACCCAATATGGAACCTGCCCGCGGGAGGGGGTTCAGGAGGCAAACCGATGGGAGGAGTAGTTCTCGCGAGAAGAGAGCAACAGCTGGAACTCAGAGGCAGGAACTCCCAGGGACTGTTTCTCCTTAAGGGCGCGGAGGCGGACCAGGCGAGGAGGGAAGAAGCCGGCAACACATGCCGCGTGCGCCCCACCGTGGTCGGCGGGGCAAATACCTGGCTCTGTGGTGGAAAGCGACATTGACAAACCGGGCGTTTGGAAAAGCGGCCGAAGATCTTTGCACTGCGAATAGTCACTAGCAGGCGTGCCCCTGCTTAGCACCCCCAGTTTCCAAAACATACTTGCATATATAAGAGGCAGGTTCCTATCAGAAAGCCATTTCATTCCCATCTACTCAAGGACATGTGGCTTACTCTTTGGGATTCTTGACAAAAATCCATCCCAGAGGCAAACATGAGTCCTGCATCAAAACTGAGATTTTTCAACCCAAACTCTCCTAGTAATTCTTTTTTGTAAGAATAATTTATTTTAATTTATTCATGTAACTTGCTACAGGGCACGTATGCTGACCAGAGATAGAGAGAAAAGTAAAAAAGCAAGCCACCAGGTTCTGGACTCAAACTATGGTAGACCATATGGGAGTCCAGCACCTTAATTAACACACCACCTACTGGCCCTTCTCATAGTAGTTCTTAAACTTGTGCTTGAGCAAGAGTCTCTCTGAGAGTTTGTTTTAAAATGTGGGTTCCCAGGACCCACATGGTGTCTAACTGGATAGATCAGAGGTGGCCACCAAGAATGTGCGTTTTTCTAATACACTCCAGGTAGTTCTGACTCGGGACACTCTCTAGTGTCTTCCTTCGAGAAGCTTTTGAAAAACTGTTACCATGAGGGTTTGATATGGACACCTTCCCTAAAGAATTGCACAGTGAAGAGATATTAAGCATTTAATTCATGCCTCTCCGAGTCAGGAAAACGGGGCAGAGAGTGATCTGGCAGTGTCACGTTTAAGCAAGTCAAATGACCTTTTTTAGACCTTAGTTCCACCTTCTGCAAGAGAACTGCCCTACGTTCCCACCCAATAGGATCATTTGTAAAAGCTGAACAAGATAATAAATGTGAACGAGGAGAGCATTATACACCTACACTTGTATTATCAACCTATTCCTGTGCTAAAGCTTACTTTAAGGAGAAGAACTGGACCCTATTTTATTCTTTTAGTTATTTCTTGAGGGCATCTCTCATCACTGTCATGATTATTATCTTTTGTGTTATGCACCCCCCCCCTTAGAAGGCTCAGACTTTCCCTATCTAGTCTCAGATCTACACAGTGTCTAGAACATAAAAGGTGCACCATAAATATGTTTAAAAATATGAAATATGACTATAACCTCATTTTTAAAAAAGAATTATTTAACTTTATTGATTTATTTCAACTTGACCAAGGAGGAGGAGGAGAGAAAGAGTGAGAAAGCAAGCCACCAGGTCTGGGACTCGAACCAGAGTCGGCCATGAGAGAGTACAACCCCCCCAACCACCATGCCACCTGCCGGCCCCCATGACCACATTTTAAGAGGCGGTACAGGATCCTCAGTTCTCAAGGAAAACTAAATAAAACAAGACAAAATAAACAGGATCATGGTGATTCATGGAAAGCCATTTAGGATCCAATGGGGCTTAGCCTGGATTCTCTTGCCTACAAAGCTGTGCTGCTTGAAAATGTTCCAAGCCAGCCTCCAAGTTAGGGAGCTTTCTCAGAAGTAAGGGAGTGGCAAAAAGGCTTACGGGGAAAGCGAGAACAAAAAACGTGACTGTGAGAAATGAAGAGAGGGGAATCTAGACAGCGAGTGCATGGATACAGGAGTGAGGGAGAAGCTTGGACATAGAAATCCTAGAACATTCATCTATTATCCAACAGTTGGAATGACGGGGTGAGGTGAATGAAAGGGTTAAAATGCAGTGAGAATCACGTCTGTTCACTCATTCCATGAATATGTGCTGAATGCTGCTAGGTGCCAGGCACTTCCGATAGGTGAATAGAAGCCACAGCGGCTGTCTGCGTGGAGCTTACACAGTAAGACCATCGCTCAGTGCCAGGTAGTGAGTGCTTCCTATGTTCACCTCACACTTCTAGGTACTAAGGAGCCAACAGTAAATCAAAGAGGAGAAAAACAATCCCTGCCCTTCTGGGGTGAGATGATTTACAAAAAGGAATACATCCGGTATAATAAATAAGATACATGAATACAGTCGAGGAGAGCAGAACTGCACCTGGGCCAGGAGGAATGAATCCCAGGGCAGCGAGAGACAGTGAGAGGGAGAGGTTTCCATGCAGGGTACAGAGGGAGACCATGCAGGATGGTGTCATCCAGGGGGAAGAGCCAGAGTCTTGAGAGAGCCCAGGTTTGGAGACCCCAGTGACCCCCTTAGTCTCCATTTCCTCATGCTGCTTCCGACCCGACTAGGTGGTCGGAGACAGCCATTACTGTGTCCAGGGCGGAGCGGAGGCCTGGCGCCAGGCAGACTCCATCAGGAGCAGGAGAGCTCCAGAGAGAGCGGGGCCTAGGTGGCACAGGTATCCCAGGCAGGTACGAAGGGGCTCCCACGGTCCTGGGGAGGGAGGGCGGCCCAGGGGCCCCCTTTCTTCTCTCCCAGCGGCCAGGCCCCCTTCCTCGCCTTCGCCTTCGGCTCTCGTCTCCCGCCCGCCCGGAACGCCCGCGGGTTCGG